GTTAATGGTGGGAGTTATATACTGTGTATACAATAACTTTATATAACTTTTTTCCCTATTGTATTATAATCTAGCAGGCCAATAAAAACTAATCCGTTAATCAAATTTTCTATTTTTGTCAGTCTTCGATCCTCGTAATCGAGATGCGTCTTGTACTTGGGGTAATTCGGTAATTGTAAAAACTAAGCCTCTCATAATTATTTAACTGTAAATTATTTTCGACTTTTAAATTAGAATCTTAATGTAAAAATCAGATCCTTTTTCTACCTTGAAAACCTTTTTCGATTGCTCAACAAATCTTTTTTTTAACCTTTTTTTCGATACATAACTGTATCGAAATAAATATCTCTCGCTTTAATTTATTAGATATCGAAAATATTTAGCTTAAAATCATTTTAGGTTTTAATTTTGAATCAATTAAAAAAATAAACTGCTTTTGTTTATGTTTGATTTATCGAGATAAATTTCAATTTTATAATTTTTTTCCATTCGTGTCTAATTTTTGAATTTTTGCTTTTATATTTATTTTTTAAATTATCTACCAATGGGAGAAACGACGCAGTTTCACTCATGCAATTAAGTTCATGGTTGGCCTTTTTTACCTGATTACTCACTTAAACTGAGGATCATTTATCATGTATTCATTTTGCTGTTTGTCATACATTCGCGCGGTTGATTTCTTTGAAAAAGCGGAACCCTAGGTCTTGCAATTTATTCATGGTTTGTAGAAAACGTTGCGTAAAGATTTTGAAGATCTGTTTCAGGACAAATCAAGTAAATAATTGCTTTAGAAGTTGACTATGCATTTACGACTCCCTTACACGACCTGTTTTACATTATTCATTTTCTTAAGCTCTCGAAATCCTCCTTTTTGTAATTCGTATTTCCATATTTCTGGAATAGGAATGCAGCAACTGGATGATTTAGTTAATCTTTAAAATTCTTCATCCTGAAAAACTTTTATTTTGCAAATTTTCTTTATTGGAATGCTTAAAAAATGGATTTTGTTAATAATTTTCAATTCGTCAAGATTATCTCGCATGACATGCAGAACCAATTTAAGTTCATTTTTGCTCTATCAAAACTCTTATCGAGCAATTACTGTCCATCTTTCGACTCGGAGGGAGTAACAAACCCAAACAGTCTACAACAAAAAGTCGATAACCAGACAAAGTCGGAGCTGTAGCGATGCCCGATAATGAAATATGGCGGATTATCGAACAAAAAATTGTACAGTGCCACACAATTACTTTTTTACTCATAATTATCGAATATGGCTGATTATCGAACAAAAATTATGCAATGCCACACAATTAATATTAATTTTATTGTATAACAGAAATTGTACAGTGCCACACTATTAATATACCTCACAGTTAATTTACAAAACAACGAATAGCCGCCCAGTTACTTTTCATACAGTGCCATATAATAATCTGTTCCATCTTCATGATAATTCTTTATGCCAAATGTTTAAAAATGTGATTTGTTGGCAATTTTCAGTGCATTAAAATTATTACCTTACACCAAATGCAAAAGTCCTTTAAGTTGACTTTCGCTCCATCAGAGTTCTTGTCAAGCGGTTGCTGTCTAACTTTCGACTCGGACGCAGTAGCAAACCTAAACAATAAAAAATTGTACATTGCCCAGTGTTTTTCATTATGAATTCAGAAGTCGCATGCTGGAAAGGGGGAAGGGGAAAATGCCTTACAATATGGTGTCTACAGAAACAATGAAACATGCCACTAGGGGGCGATTTAAAAATGAAAGTGCAGTGGAATTCTCAAGATAGCTTGTTAATCACAGAAAATTATACAGTATTGCATATCTAAAAAACTACCGTTGATGAAATAGTATTTATTGACTAAATCATTAAACATTATCATTATAAACTAAGTTCCAATATTAAATTTGTGTACTTTTTCTGACAATGACGTTTTGAGGATTACATTTAAATGATGGACATCTCTAGAATTGAACCTTGCTAACCCTCCAAGGGTTATAGACTAAAATTCCGTATCGACGGCGATGGCATTCCCATTACACATAAAAGCTTCTGCCAGATCCTGATCAGTCAGATTTCGGGTTGGATGTATTATGGAAGAAGCGAATTCAGGGTCAAAGTGAGACTGTCATTTTGGAATTATAACTAAGAAAATGGCACTTATTCGTGACATTAGGTTAAAATTTGAAATCTCAAGGCCAAACACGTAATGCTCGGAGGATTAAAAATATTCACGAATTCCAAAATTTTGTTTTTATATCCCAAAAAGTGGATCTCTTCCATTAATGAAAATTGTTAAAATTTGAGAACCCATCCATTTTTCAGTTCCAATATTAACGTTTTAAATTGTTCAAAATGAGCAAGTGAAAATTTGCAAGATCATTGCGAAATCACATGATACACTTTTGTTTCAGTTATTTTACACATATTTGTTTATAAACACGTAATTATTGATAAAAATTCCTGTAGTTGATTATTGTCAGAGAAGAGAGAAGTTGTGAGAGAGTCCGTTGGCGTCCCTTTCTGGATGCAGCCCGGCTCTCATAATCGGTCTGCGAGGGCGATTTTGATGCTTATGATGCATTTTTGGTCATAAATTGCACACGTCAGATATTTTAGTTGTGCAGTAGATGCAATAAATGAATGGGTTAAAAAAAAAAAAAAAAGAAATGTAATGCATTTCGTATTCTTCTTTACTGTAGTATGCGAAGAAGCATATTAAAGGTTTGAAATTTTCAAATCTTTATCAGGATTGTTATTATCAGTCCTGATGCAGTACACTGGTGTGCAAAAATTAAGGACGAAGTCGAAAAATTAGCATATCAGCTGAATGAAGAGGCAGAGCGGACAGAAAGACCACTCAGGAGATTAAGTAAGGTGATGTATGGTAGCACATGCGCAGATATGAAGGTAGATGTAATGGGGGAGTGTCTGAGTAGTATAAAGCATGTTGTCGGTGTAAGATCAGTATTTCTGGCAAAGAGATTGCACGCCGTATAGCAGTTAAAATCACACCGAGTTGCTGCCTCAGCGAGAAATGGCGAATAATCAATCTGTTAGACGACATCTGGATGCTTTTACCCGAGGTCGAATCACTGGGAAGTTGGAGGAAGGCCGCAGTGTGACAAGTGTGGCTGCAGAGTTCGGAATTGCTCACAGCATCGTTTCACGACTTTGGAGACAATTTCAAACTACAGGAACAGCTATCCGGGGGTTTAGTAGTGGTCGTCCACGAGGAACCACACCCGCAGATGGCCGGTATATTGCCTTACATGCCAGAAGAAACAGGCGGCAGACAGAAAGCGAGAGCACACACCCAGACACCGACTGGACTAGACGACCGATATCGGCGCGATACCCCCCCCCCCCCCCCGTTTTACCGTGGCCAGAAGACTGCACGGTGGTGGTCTGTTTGCACGATGCCCTGTACGGTGTGTACCTCTAACGCCTGCCCATCGGAGAAGGCGTTCTCTGTGGTGCCGGGAACACCGGAATTGGAGAGAGACAATGAATGGGGACGAGTACTCTTTACAGATGAGAGCAGATTCAGTCTGAGTAGCGATTCTCATCGCATACTCATCTGGAGAGAGCGGGGAAGCCGCAATCATCCCTCGAACATCATTGAAAGGGACAGGTATGGAGGTGGCGGTGTTCTCGTTTGGGGAGGCATCATGCTTGGTAGTCGTACAGACCTTCACATCTTCGACGCGGGTTCAGTCAACGGGACGCGTTATTGTAACGAGATTCTTCTTCCATATGTGCGTCTTTTTAGAGGCGCTATGGGTCCGCAGTTCCTTTTCATGGACGACAATGCACCATGTCATCGCACAGTAGCTGCCGAACAGCTCTTAGAGAGTGAGGATATTAAACGCATGGATTGGCCGGCACGATCTCCGGATCTCAATCCCATCGAGCATGCATGGGATTTTCTAGGCAGACGCTTGGCAGCTCGTACCTTACCACCAGTAACGATTCCGGAGCTTGGATTGGCGCTGCAAGACGAATGGGCAGCAATGCCTCAACAACTCATTGACACCCTCATTCTCAGCATGGGCAGACGCTGTGAAACCTGCCTAGCAGTCAGGGGAGATCATATCCCCTATTAAAGACCGGATGTTTCTTGCTGGACAACCATCACAGGGATGTTTCGGCCTTCAGTCGCGTTGCGCTCCATGCTACTTTTTCAATAAAGCTTCTTTTTATCCCTCTGATTTCTCTTTTAGTAAGTGTTGCTTACATTACTCATGTCCTTAAGTATTGGGGATCTTACGGTATTAAATGTGTTGATTTGGAAAGCTTTTGTACAAAGTTATATCGAAAAAACCGTCTCGTCCTTAATTTTTGCACACCAGTGTATATTGGGGCTCCTTATGTCCATTACGTAAATAAAGACGTCCCATTATTTAATTGCTTCAGTTTTAACAGGATAATATATGAGGAAGCTGAAATTTTATGGAATATATCTCTTTTTAAATCATTAACTCTTTTTAATTCGATCTAGCTGTTGCAAAAACCCCTCCTCTTTATTGGTATAGAGCTGTACTTCTGTCCTTTCTCCATTTTAGTATTTAAGTTACTAGACTTAAAACACGGATTGATTTCTGAGAAGTAAATTTAAAAGGATCTTTACTTTAAACTAGTCAGCTTTTAAACGATTATATTCTAACTAGGAAACGTATTGGAAGTAGCGAAATTTAGAGGTTCTAATTTATTTCTGTTTTATATCTAATTAACTGTACGTCTTACAGAAGAAGTTGTTCTAAAGAATGTTCTAATGAAATTATATTTAACTACAGTTTGCTTCTGATGTGAATACGCTTTCAATTAAAAATGCTCTTGCATTTTACAATCAAAATTTTGAAATAAAGAATAAAATAACGAATTCTTATTATGCTTTTACGCTATTTTTTTGACTTGTCCGTAATGCTGGGTCCTTGGTAATGCAGTTTACGATATAAAATGTTTATTAATATTTCTATTTTTTTTTTTACTTTAGAGAGTGAGGGGACAGCTCTTTTGGACATCCTCGCCAACAGACATCGCAAATGGCGATGTCGTCTGAGGGGCGAGTTCATGGTCAACGGCCTCTACCTTACTCTCAAGAAACTGGAACGCTGCATTGCTTATGTCCAACGTCACACAGACTTCGGACCTGACATGAGCGTTCGGCAAACTTTACTCTTCACATCCCTGTTGCAAGAACCAGACAATGAAAGAGGTTTCGATACAAAAAGTCGGGTAAGTGTATTTTTAAGTTCCATACAATGGATACCTTCCTGATACTCTGCTTTGTAAATATCAGTAAATTCTGAGCTTCGAAACTTGTGCTTCACTTTCATTGGATGAAAAAACGCATTGGAAATGCAGAAGAGAATATACCAATGTTGTATAATGTGCCCAAATAGGCACAGTGGATGAGTTTCACTGTTGACTTCTCATTTTTGAAAGATTCACGTTATATTTTTGGTTAGGTAAGATCAACTATGATTCCAGAGAAAGACGGTTGGATAATTCAAAACGCTGACGGGTTTTCGGTTGAGTTTGAAGCAGGACAATCTATGAATGATGTTACTATTTCCTTTGGTGTTAAAAATTCTGTTACCTCTCCCTTTGGGAAACAGTATCAAACGAAGTGTTCAATTGTCCAGAGACCTGATCCTTCTCATCCAAGAGTAACCGCATCTTCTGACAAGTAAAGTTTAGTTAGCCAAGTGCAATTGATTAATACTACATATGAAAGGAGTGTATGGCTTGGTACTACGAGTTTGTAAACCTTGACAGATGAATGCTGTCTAGCCGGTATATCGGTTAGAAACACTGAGTGCCCTATTGATACGCCCGGGTTCTAATCTAGAGAAAACATGGATGTTTGTAAGAGTGAGTGAGTGAGTGAGTGAGCGAGTGAGCGCCACCAAGGAAGACCACTGACCTGGCCTTAGCCTCACAGTGTGTTATCTTCCTGGCAGAAACCATCTACTCTCTGCTCCATCCTGCTCCGGGAACGCAGCCGAATAGACGGCTAATAGCCTCATATAGTCTACATATAAGCTTGGATGTTGTTGTACGGGGAAAGAGTATCCTGTTAGGAACTACTTAAAATTAAGCAAAGAAGCAATCAAAAGACTGTTAAGAATCGCTGTTAGAATAGACAGAAACTTGTGTTAGATAAAGTAAAGATAGAAGGACTTTGCCTGAAAAATTAACTGCCGTGGATTTTCTGGACTTGCTAAATGTCTATATGCGGGTTGCTTATCGTGACACAACCGTCATATCTTTATGGGGGCTTCTGTGAAATCGTTGGTCCTGCATGGAGGAAAGTTGTAACCTATTAAATTATTGCACATAGTAAACTTTAAAAAAATAAATAAAAAATTAAAAAAATAATAAAGAGAGAGAGATTAAAAGATGATTAAAAAAATCCTAGCGCCCAAACATAATTTAACGCAGTTTACTTTCCATGTGCCTGACTCTTATGTAAGAACATTTAAAAGATTGTGTACCTGTTATCACTAAGATAACAAATTCCTGCATAATTTAGTTCTTTGCGCATACTTAAACTGTAGTTGTTTTACAAATTGAACCATTCACCTACATTTTCTTTCGTAGTACTTGCAGACAGGATAATACATACATAAGTACAAAACTGAATATTAAAGTGAAAACTAACATGATACTGAGTACAGAAATACAAAAAAGCTGATCCCTAATGCCTGCGTACATAACACTTAAAAATGCATACATAATACATGAAAAACTAAAAAATAAAGCTGATAAGCATAATACATAAAACTGATCATTAAGTACTGCTATGTAGTCTAAATCCTAGCCAAGTACGAACTGACCTTCATAGTACATGCTGAGAAGGAATAAATACAGACTTGAGTACTTTAAAGTGAACATAACACAAAAAGTACAGCACCATACTCAGTAAAACTGATATCTGATTCCAAACACTTGAATACATAATGCTGATACATAATTACAAAGAGAAACTTACTTACATTAATTCCATAGTTAGTTTTATCACCTTAGAACATGCACATAATTTATACAAAACATAATTAAACACGTAATGCTGATCACTAGGGAAGAGATTCAAACATGCAATTGATCACATAAATACAGATATTTCTTCCCTAATATTTGCATAAAAAGTTGAATATTTATTAAAATTAAGAAGGCAAAAATGCCATACCAATAATAATATCATTCATAAACTTGAGGTGATAACATAAGTTGACCTTGCCCTTCTTGAACCTATTTATCACAAACTTGTAATTTAAATACACGATTAGTAAGTGTAGGAAAAACTCATTGCTGTTGAAGATTTTACTGGCACGATCTGGTCTTGCGAGTCCTAGACCTGTACATTAATGCAAAAGTAAACATTATAAAGAATATAGGCAGGTTTGTTGCCATAGTCCTAATTATCTAAGTTAGTCTTGGGTTGAGAGGTTCGAGGTGTGTGCCCAGATTGATTTAGTGTGATTTATACATTTTATGATTCAGAGCGCTAAACACTTGATTATTTCTATTTGGGGACACTTATCGTCGTATTAGAGAATACTTTCTCTGACAATGGCTGATTACCGCTTGTAGCTTTTTATTTGCTGTTTTGTTTGTTCTCATATTTGCCGCCCATTGTGGCCAGTAAGCTTGAATTGGCTTTCTTATATGGTACTATGCCGTGTTTGTGCAGTGAAAGACGTAGTGGTCTGGATCCCCCACCTCTCCACATTGACATCTTTCTGTGTCACTCAGGCTGAATCTATGCAGATAGGTCAGGAATGGGCCATGACCTGTATAAAACTGTGTCTGACTACCACTATTGCAGTTTAACTCTAGCGTTGTTTTTGGGAAGAACATATACGTTCTCCTTCCTGTATCTGCTGTATCCCATCTGGCTTGCCATGTCTATCAGTTGTTTTAGAGTGATCTTTTTGAGATGAGACCTAGGTAACTTATCTGGCAGTTCTGTTCTTGAGACCTCCTTTGCGGCTTCTTTTGCCAGGGTGTCTGCTTCCTCATTGCCTTTAATGCCCACGTGAGCCGGAACCCACGTGAGGCATGGCCTTTCTGATGGTGGAAGACTGAGGAGGATTTTTCTAATTTCTTGGACATACTGGCTTCTACTTTTGTAACCTTTGATTGCGTCAAGGCTAGAGGCAGAATCAGAAGAATCACTGTAAATAGTAATGTGGAGAAGTCTGTTCCTCTTCACATAATTAATTGCTGCTTTAAGTGCTGCCAGCTCAGCTTGGAATACTGAGTTCCTACTGCCAAGTCTTCTTTTCCATTTATACACAGCTGTATTACCTTTTAGAACGCAGAAGGCACTGCCAGTACCCGTCTCGGTTTTTGAGCCATCTGTAAATATAACTGTGTGGTTATCTTTTGGTGTCACATAGTGGCCTAGAATACACTTTTTTAGATGTGTTTCAGCCGGATGTCCTTGAGTCACTGGCTTGTGTTTTTCAAAGTCTTCAGCAAAGTGGTGTTGTTCCCATAGAACTCCATCCTCACCTAGCCTTAACACTCTTGCAATTAACGACTCCCTTTCCGCTTGCAGGTCTAGCGGAGGAATTCCTGCTAGAACCTGCAGAGCTGTCATTGAAGTAGTTCTGTAGCCCTTGCAGATGAGCAAGAGTTGCAGCCTTTGCATGGACAGGAGTAATCTACGCATGCTTACGTTGAGTGTATTTCCCCAGATCGCTACGCCGTAGAGAACAATTCTTTATGTTATTGCTTGGTACCACCTCTTAAGCACCCATGGTGGTGCTCCCCACTGCAGTCCTGTTGTGCGTAGCATTGTGTTTGTGAGTGCGATACATCTTTTCCTGAGTTCTTTTAAGTGGGGAATCCAAGAGAGATTATTGTTGAGGATAAATCCTAGGTATTTTATGTTTGAAGAGCATTTTATTGAGCTACCGTTGAGTCTAATGGTAGGATTTCTTTTCATTACTCTTTTACGCCCTATAAATAGCATGGTAGTTTTTCTGCTGAGATCGTAAGTTTATGTGTTTGTGCCCACTCTAAGAACCTATTTAGTGCATTTTGTGTAATTTTCTCGATATTCTTTCTTCCCGAAGTTACTAGAAGGAAATCATCCGCAAAAGCCTGCAGATGTATTTCGCTCTCCATCTCAAAAATTTGGAACGCTGAATTAGCTACTAGGTTCCACAGGGTTGGCCCTAGACAGGAACCCTGTGGACAGCCTTTCTCCAGTTTATGCTGGATTATTCCATCGTTTGTAGTTACTTGGACTTGTCTGTCTTCAAGGTAGCTCCTTATCAACTTTAAGATCTGAATTGGGCAGTTGATTGAATCTAATTCTTTTGTTACATCAGGCCACCAGACATTATCGAAGGCTCCCTTTATGTCAATAGATATTACTATTGAGTGATTGTCTTCCTCTCTGTTCTTTTTCAGCACTTTCAGGAGATCTGCTACTGCCTGTTCCGTAGATATTCCTTCACGGAAGCCATACTGTTTTTTATTAATTACTGAACTTTTATTCAGGAAATAATTTCTGCATGTGTAGGGAAAGAAGGGATCTAGATCATTATTTCTTTAAATGCCCGTTGTTGACGGTTACACACCATAGCAAGCTCCCAGTGACAAGCTTTCGAAGAGGTACCTAGTAAAACAAAAATCTGAAGGATGAACTGTAAAATAAATATAGTGACTCTTTTTCAGTCTGACGTCACTCATTCAGGACAAAACGAGCAGTTAATCAAAACCAAGCAGCTCTTCATTCTTCGAATTCTTGACCCATTTCTTAAAAGTTGTTCAGCAACAACGAAACAACAAAGTAAATTACATTGATTATCTTCAAATGCACCATTAAAAATGCTTCCAAATCCCTGATCTGTGTTATTAAACCGAGTCAAAAACAATTTCCGCAGAATCCTTAAGCAATTCAAAAGCGGAAGTCGAAGCATAGCAATGCAAGAATCTCAACAGACGTGCAAACCACCAATTAGTATTTTGTTCTAGAATAATTGTATGTGTGGCTAATACCTGCTTATTTTGTGTGCATATTAAGCCTCCTTCACACTTCTGTCTATTGATATGTGGACCTATATTCTGTCTATTGATATATATATTTAATATACCTGTATAAATTTCAACAAAAATGTACTAGCTTTTCGTTTCTTGAAAAGATATATTTAGAAAAAGGCATATATTTTTTATATTTTCATATTCTAATTCCGTTAAATGGCACTGGAGTATGTCAG